TTCAAACTCGATTGCAGAAAATACGACTTCAGCAACAGAGTGGTCAACGCCTGGAATATTCTACCCAACTCCGTTGTTACAGCCTCAAACCCTCACAGCTTCAACCTCAAACTGCCTACTGTGGACCTCACCCCATTTCTCAGAGGTCCGTAAAGGGAGCATGCATAAGCGCACCAGCGTGCCTACCCTCCCTGTCTACTGTCCCCATTTATCTGTACTTACTTCCTTTGTTTATGTTCATACATATACCTGCTATCTTGTACATGTTTGACAAACAAACAAAATAAATAAAAAATAAATAGTTTAAAATAACAGAAAATCAGTTTTCTGATTTTCAGCAGCACATTTTGGCAAAGTGTTAAGAGGGGTTCTAGAACGCTTTGGGAGACACAAGTTTTAGATTACTCACCCTGATTCAGCGACTAAACAATAGCATTATAACATCCCCACTTGGCAAGCTATGCCAAGAGGTAATAGACTTGCTTAGGGACATTTTTTACATTCTTAACCAAATGGGATTTTGAAATGTAGGTTGGATTTCTCAACCTACATTCCTTCATCCCTCCCTCCTTCCCTCCTTCCTTCCTTCCTTCCTTCCTTCCTTCCTTCCTTCCTTCCTTCCTTCCTTTACACATAAGTGATTCTGGAGGCTTGCACCTTTTATGAGTGTCACAACCAGTTCAATTCATATAACCTAAGAAGCTAAACCAAACAAACCATATTCTGGTGCAGAGGACAATGTCATATACTGCAGCCTTACTTCAAACATGAAATAGTGCCATTCCAAAATATAATTGAAGTGAACTGGGCCAACAGCACATCATACCCGAGCAAAAGCAATTCCATAATTTCAATGCACCGCTCACATATAAAAAGAGCCCTGTTTAATAAGCTCAACAAACCCAATTTTGTTGTGAAAGAAACCACTCAGGACTAATCTCCACTATGTTTACCAGTAAAAATAAACATTTGCCAATTTAGCAAGCAAGATATAAACTAGCAAATACACTGTGGCCTATAAACATACCACAAGTAATGGCTTCTATTCAAGACTCTGGCACCAAAACTGAACAGTAATTTTCCACTTTCTACGTACATGTTAAAAGAAAAACGGTGCACTCCATGGCAAACAAGTTTCCCATCTGAACATCCTGCCATGTTCATACACAAGTTATTATTAACTTTGATATTTCTCTCCCACTTTCCTATTTTATCCTATGCTAACATCAAAAGTTAATAAATGCTTGACAGGCAACTAGCTGTTACTATAAAGAGGCAAAATAATTTAGAAAACAGTGCAATGTGCTTTCTTAGATTCTACAACTTACATTAAGACTTGACTCTGCTGCAATTCACACATGTGATGTTGTCAGCAACACTGCCAAGTCGTATCTACAAGTCCTTAAAAAACCCTTTAAAAACTGACATGTGTGTGTCTATGTGTTACGTTTTTTCTGTTAAAGAAATAAAGGGAGACTAGTATAGATCTATTTCAAGCTGTTTAGCTCTCATCAGCTAGCCATACCCTTGCTGGGATTTGAACTTGGCCTGCTTACATATTAGGCAGCTAACAGTAAATGCCTAATATGTAAGCAGACCAAGTTCGAATCTCAACAAGGGTATAGCTAGCTGATGAGAGCTAAATAGCTTGAAATAGATCTATACTAGTCTCCCTTTATTTCTTTATCAGCAAAAGTATAACACAAAATGGTTTGTCGTATAAGCAACTGCCTGCAAGGCTCCTGGAGTGAGGCTGAAAGGTGAAAGGAAAGCAGTATGCTCCCTCCCATATTTGGGCAGACCAGGTGCTTTGATAGAAGAAAAAACCCTATATACATATATACATACATACATACATACATACATACATACATACATACATACATACATACAT